GAATAAACCCTAAACCATCAGCGTTGCATTGTTCTTGTGAATATTATCGTTATATAGCAGTACATAAATACGTACAACACTATTCGTCGGCAATTCTTTGCCCAAGTACCGTATTTAAACAAAAATCTGAATTTTCCGGAATACGTGACTGACCTTATAATTGGTTAGTTCCTTCACTTTCGAATATAAATGAATTCAAAACTTCTTTTTTTATTTAAAATAAAAGAAAGAAAGAAAGAAAGAAAAAGAAAAAATTGATCGCCCGAAACGTCTCAGAGGTTATTTTCGGGCGTCTAGAAAATAACAAAATTTGCGAGGCATGCCCCCGGAACACCTAGGGTAGTATTATCTCCATCGGCCCCACTTTTCCCCCTCCCCTTTTTCGACAACCGCCCCTGCATTAGGGTATCAAGTTACTGTGTTCTCCCGCAGATCCCGGTTTTGCTTTACCGTAAATGCTCAAATAATCGCCGGGGCTCTTATTCGTGGCACTTTCAATGCCCGTTCCTGGCATGTTACCTATCTCACGTGTTCCCTTAGTTCAATAGGACTTATCACAGGTCCTACGACATCGTAAATAACCGTTTATAAAAAATGCTTGTGTCTTCATTGTGTTATTTATTCATTTTAGCATTGTATACAGTGTATTTAAAACCCTGTTTATCAAAGTGTTTTATTACACACAGGGTAATAATATATATAGGCCTACTCTCAATTATTCGAGAGCGGCGCTTAGCGAGCGAAAAAAAAATCACTTTTCCGGGTGCGGCGCCTATTCAAGAGTGGCATTTATTCGAACATTTACGGTATATAAAGTTTCAATTCAGTTTTATAAAGAACGTCCCGTTAATGCTCTTAGTGAGTGGAGAATGTTTTTTAGTCAAAAGATTCAAACCCAGGACCTTGAGTTTACAAGGCAATCACCTTAACATGATACAGTGCAATGGAAAACGAAAAAGCAGTTAGTTACCACACGTTAATAGATAAGACTACGAAAAAAATTTTGTTTTTCTATTTTATCAATTTTCTCTTGAATCAGACGGTGAATGAACAATCAAAATCCCGTTAACGTCTGCGTCAATGTGAACGTGTACTTAAAAAGACGCGCGATAGGATTCAGACACACTATTCAATTAAGCGGTTGATACTCCCCCTAACGTTTCAAATCTTTCAAAATGGTCACATCGTTGTTGAGAATTCTCTAAGGACTTACCGGATCGCGGCAATACATTTGTTTGTTTCAATTCGATGAATTTCGCTCACACCAACTCTCTTTTACGTAACTAGATAATGGTTGTTATTATACGTCATAATTCTCGCCAGATTATTATTCTCATCAAGTTGATACCACATAGAAATGCTTTCTTACATTAGACAAATATGATTGAATAGATTTTTGTTTTGAGAGTGATTATGAAGAAAGGTTACTGAATTTGTGGCATTTTCGTGCGTAAGTTTTTATTACCTAGGTTACGGGTACTTCGTGCCAATCCCGCTGACAATTCGCGCTTAAAGTAGGCTTTCTGTTATTACAATTATTGAAACTGTAACTGGAGTTAAGCTAGGATTTTGTGTTTCTTTAGTTATGGTCTTCGGAGAGACGTATTAGTAGGTCTAACTTTGATCTAATTAGATGAAATTCTGTGCTCTATGTATTCGATTTGTATTGCAATGCAATCGGTTTTTATATGAATGATCGCTGTTTAGTATTTTGTGGTTTTCATACTAAATAATTTTATAGGTATTTCTCCGCCCACAGGGATGTATCATTGTTGACGGTGGTTCCCTCAACATATACCGTAATACGAGTGTCTGACTTGGTAACAGCATCGTGCCAGCGCCCTTATTGTTCAAAACTAGAAATGTATCAAAGAGTAGGTCCGACGTGTTTAATCAACATTTATAATCATGCGCCAAGTCGTTCACTCCTTCCTATTCTTTGTGTCTTTCAACCTCAGCGTGCTTGGTTTCATCCTGTACATTATATAGATGGATTTCGAAAACACTTTATCGCGGGATTCCCCCTCTCCCTGCAAATGTCGCTGCACCTAAGCATTTCTTAAATTTCCAATTTTATCATTATTTTCTGTAATTCATTGCAGATGGATAAACTTTCAACGATCGTTTTCCCAGCGACAATATTTTTCATCATTTTCATCAGCATTCCAGCAATAAACGTGAATGAGGCAAAATCAATAAAACGGCATCGATTTCTAGAAAGGGCCTCTGATGCAATTGATATACACAGCGCCGAACCAATGAAAATAAAGAGGATTAAAGACTTACTGGAAGCAAATGCGATGATGACCGTGAGGAAAAGACCGGCTACCCCGACCTGTACACCAGCGAATTACAGAGATTGTCACACAGACTGGAAGAGAGGAAGGCCTTTTTACCCCGCGCGCTACCTTAAAAGACAGAGAGTTTAAATAGACAGGACTCATAGATTTTAAGGCAATCAACTAATATTATTATGATGGTTTGTCGATTAGGAGTGATGCAGGAACTAAAGTCAATTTAAGTTGTCATGAATACCACGCTTTTCAAATTAAATTACTGATTATGTGGTATGCACTGGGTTACTGGGGTTTAAAGGTAATCTGAGTGTAATTCTAATCCACAAATACAAAATAATTGAATTAGGCCTACTTATAAGTCGGGGGCACGTCACTGTGTCGTACCACCGTCGGCCGACAAATCCGCAGGTGCCCCAGAAAGCCGGGCACACTGCGCATGACTGATGCGATTCCATATCGTGCGCAACATATCGTTTTTAATGAGTCCGCTTCAACTGCACCGGCAACCATAAGACGGTGTCGCGTCTTAAGTGATCACAGACGGCGGCGATGGCGACGATCGTACGAACATCAACGAAGTGTGCCCGGCTTAAGGGAACTGACATTTTAATGTCAGTTAATTTAAGAATTAATTAACCACAACAAGCTATGGTTGGATGGATTTTTAAAAATCCATCCAACCATGTGGTTAATTAATTCTTTGATTTATAATTCGTTTTAGTCATCAAGTATGTTTATCATTGAAAGTTGCCGTACTCTAATTTCTGATCGAAAAAAAAATTGAAAAAAGGATTGGATCAAGTCTACGCTATGGCCTACTTAGGCCTACAGGAACTCTGTCTTGCTTGTCGTTTGATGGATCTTTTATGTGTTCAACACAACTAAAACTATATTGACGCAATAAATTTTAGTCAAGCACGACAAAACCCTTTACAGTTTCTCATTCACTGTTTAAGGCATTCTCATGCATTTTGATAACAATTCCTTAAAAAACTCATCATACATTAGTTTGATAACTATATGTATACGGTAGTACATACAGACTTTGTCCACCGGAAATTCATTAGGCTTACATTGGCAAATCTCTTAAGTAAAATAGCGCAATAAACTCAAGCCTAAATGTATCGTCGACGTATAACCTTTGTTGCTTAGTGTACGTATCTAGGGAAAATAACAATGTAGCATACAAAGAGACTTTTCACTCAACTACTGTATTCTTGTACAAATAAGTATAGTGACTCAATAGGATCACCTTTAGTATATTAACACAACACTTTGAGCGGCCATCTTTGTTACGGTCCAACTGAGCACGATCGTCTCCCTTATAAAAGTCAAGTGACGTCATTAGAGCGTACTGTACCTAAGTAACATCAAAACAAGTCACTTTACGGTTACCGTTACTATTATCTTGTGTTTCATTACAATGATTTCAATTAGCCAATCAAATACGTAGAATTCTAGGTCGATACGTACGTCGAAGTTGTGGCATCGATAATAGTTTTATAATTAAAATAATTGATTGAAAACGATAAATACCGTAATAGGTACATTATTGAATACTCCGGTAGGGAGCTGATACAGGCCTACTGGGGTTTAAGTAATGTGAAGTGCAAAAAGTTCGGGAGGAAAATAGCCGGGTGGAAAACGACCGGGTAGCAATACAGACCTGGGGTCACCAACCGGCCTCAGTGGCAAATGGTCGGGAGGGAAAAGGCCTGATGGCAAAGAGCCTGGACAAAAGGCCGGGTGGCAGCGGGCCAGGTAGCACGGTGCCGGATAACTCATTAATTTAAGCGCATAAAACCCTTGACATGATACGCTACAAGCATGGAGGTATTATTGAGAATAATACCTCCATGCTACAAGTAAGACACAACAAATGGTAATGATACCTGCATGAGGAATCTAATAAACTGATTAAATAGACGGGTGTATGGGAAGCGCATCATGCTTTTAGGGCAGTGGGAGGCGGAATGTCCTAATAATGTGACTGGGCGTTTCGTATACATTTCACCCTTACTGCGAACATCACCCCCGGGTACGAATATAGGTAGGCCTACACTACAAACACATGAAATTTAAATAACTTATGGTACAAACTGACTTGCACATCCTAGCGGAATTAATTAACACATCAGCACATCATAATTAACAATCAATAGGCCCACCCGCCCCCGACAAACGGATGGTGAGGAGATACTGTATAAGACGCCTGTTTTCCATTATCTGGCCACATTCAAGCTCCATCCCTATCATAAAATAGGACGAAAAGTGTGAGTGAAATACCAAACTTTTTGTTTGTATTATTTGAAAACCATAACGCAAGCCGAATACAATCATGGTAAGTTAACTTATTATGCAAAAGTCATTTTAAACATAGGCAAGAAATAGGGCAATGTATTTAATGTTTTTGATTTTCTTTATCTAAATACCCGATGCCAAATTAGGCTAGGCCAATTGTAGTAGAGAGACAGGGGCGGATCCAGCCTGTTAAGAAAGACGGTGTGGGGGGGGGGATAAATGTGCGAGCGGATCGGGAGTCTTGGGACAGAGTCCCTGGTGGGGGAAGCAATGATTGAATTCCCCTTTAAGCTCTAGCGCCTTCAGTACCTTCAAAGGTGTTCTAGTTAAACAGGATTATCACATCCCCTTTTGGCGTTTAATGTGGAATTGTGGGGCCTAATTCTACCCCACCACTGCATGTTCTTGGTGTTTCTTGTTAAAAAAAAAAAAAAAAAAAAAAAAATTGACATGAAAGGTTACAAAACATTGGATACTATTAAGTTTCGAAGCACATAAATAGATCAATGTCTTTAAAAGAATATGTGTGATATTTATTTCCTTATAGTGTTTAGAAGTTAATGCATATTTTATAAAAAAAAAAATTGACATGAAAGGTTACAAAACATTGAATACTATTAGTTTCGAAGCACATAAATAGATCAATGTCTTAAAAAGATTATGTGTGATATTTATTTCCTTATAGGATAGGATAATAACACTATAACGTAATGATCGATAAGACCCAGCATTGCTAGCTCAGAGAGGGATAAAACAAAAAGCTACAGTACCTCCTGAACTACTTTTCAACGGGGTTAGCCCAACATCGGTTACCTGGGAGACACCATATACTTATCACACTTAGGGATTACAGTATTGCCTTGAATTTGAATACAAAGTAATTTTAACAAATAAAATTCCCGTGACATCACGACTACCTCCTAGGTAACGAGCCCTTTCTGACACTCATATAAGCGTATGTTTACACCTTTAGTATATCGGTACCGTATAACTACCGTACCATGGGGTGGCGACATTTCGTAAACCGGATATTCTGTAACCAGGGAACAGTGAAATTAATTTCACTGTTCCCTGCTGTAACTATTTCATTTCGGGTTTCGATAATGTCAGAGTTAGGAATAGCCCGTGCCGAAATACTATATGCCTGCCTACATATGTAACATCGCAATGGTTTAACCCTGTATTTATATGTATTTACTATGTATCTCTGTACTGATTTTTATTCCTCTTTTTTTTGTAGCGTGAATGTATCTCAATCCATGTTGGTCAAGCCGGTGTTCAGATCGGCAATGCATGTTGGGAGTTGTATTGCTTGGAGCACGGTATCCAGCCTGATGGCCAGATGCCAAGTGACAAGACCATCGGAGGTGGTGATGATTCATTTAACACCTTCTTCAGCGAGACCGGAGCTGGTAAACACGTCCCTCGTGCAGTGTTTGTTGATCTTGAGCCGACCGTCGTTGATGAGGTCCGAACTGGTACATACCGTCAACTCTTCCATCCCGAGCAGCTGATCACCGGCAAGGAAGATGCTGCCAACAACTACGCTAGAGGTCACTTCACCGTCGGCAAAGAACTCATTGACATGGTTCTCGACAGAATACGTAAATTGGCAGATCAGTGCACTGGTCTTCAGGGATTTCTGATCTTCCACAGCTTCGGTGGTGGTACTGGATCCGGCTTCACTTCACTCCTCATGGAACGTCTGTGTGTCGACTACGGCAAGAAATCAAAACTTGAGTTCGCCATCTACCCAGCACCTCAGATTGCAACCGCAGTCGTTGAGCCATACAACTCTGTCTTGAAAACTCATACAACAATCAGCCACTCAGACTGTACCTTCATGGTCGACAACGAAGCAATATACGACATCTGCCGACGAAACCTTGACATCGAAAGACCATCCTACACTAACTTGAACCGTCTAATTGGACAGATTGTATCCTCCATCACCGCATCTCTTCGATTCGACGGTGCATTGAACGTAGATCTGACTGAGTTCCAGACCAATTTGGTACCCTACCCACGTATCCACTTCCCTCTTGCTACCTATGCACCAGTCATATCTGCCGAGAAGGCCTATCACGAACAGCTGAGCGTTTCAGAAATCACCAATGCCTGTTTTGAACCAGCCAACCAGATGGTAAAGTGTGATCCACGTCACGGAAAATACATGGCCTGCTGTCTGTTGTACCGTGGTGATGTCGTGCCAAAGGATGTCAACGCAGCCATTGCTACAATCAAGACCAAGAGAACTATTCAGTTTGTTGACTGGTGTCCAACTGGTTTCAAGGTCGGTATCAACTACCAACCCCCAACCGTGGTACCAGGAGGTGATTTAGCCAAGGTACAACGTGCCGTGTGTATGCTGAGTAACACCACAGCCATCGCCGAGGCATGGGCTCGTCTTGACCACAAGTTTGATCTGATGTACGCTAAGCGTGCTTTCGTGCACTGGTATGTAGGTGAAGGTATGGAGGAAGGAGAGTTCTCCGAGGCTCGTGAAGATCTGGCAGCCTTGGAGAAGGACTATGAAGAGGTCGGGTTAGATTTTACGGAAGGGGGAGAGGAGGAGGAGGGCGAGGAATATTAAATTATGAACTTTATAATACTATAGGCCTATGATACGATCATAAATGCCAAACTGAACCGGTGTTGTAACTGCAGATAATTCTCAGTGCTAAAATCGGATAAAAAGTAAGCTTAAAACATATTTGGCAGGTAATAACACAGATGTAAACAGTGAAATTTATATTTATTATTTATCTCTTTACTGTTTACATCGTGTCACTACTTGATGAAGAGTTATCCTAGAAACGTC